TGGCAATGCTTGGGATGAGAAGAATACTAGGTTAGGGTCAAATTGACACAAATTCTTTGAGTAAACGTTAACTTGTCCTGATCCGTATAGGAGCCCCTACATTACACAAATTATGCATAAGATACTGTACCTTGCAACACGCCGGAGGAAAAAGTATACAATTTCCGATAGCTTTGTGACCAATTTGTGCGGAGGGGCTAGCCGAACGCGTTCATAAGCTGATTTCTACGCGTCCGGCCCTGGGGACCCCAACATAAACACCAGCAAGGACATTACATGCTCTGTCATCTATAAAGGCCATCTCAGAAGTGACCCAGCACAATGCTGCGGCACTAGGTGCCAGGATTGCACACCGACTGGCAGTTGTCATGCAGGGTCAGGAAAATCAAAGACCAACCAAGTCCTAAGGAGCAGTATGCGGTAATGTATCGTATCTTATGCCTAAAATAGCCTCGTAATTAAACAGATCAGAATGAAAGCGAGCTTGGGTCATTCGTCATGAATATGGCTTGCAAAGAGACTATTACTTATCGAAAATGGTTGCCCACACCTTCGCGAAAGGATATGAGTTCAACTCAGCGGCCGTTCAGATAATAGTCCACGCAAAACAAGTCGAGAATTGATTAAAGTCTCGGTTCCGGATGGGAACACAGTCATTCGATGTATCGATCCGGCGCCGGCATACGGAGCTCTGCGCAGTCAACTGCCGACGTAAATGGTTCAGCATTAATTAGCTTATACGCAAGTAGATCGCGAATCAAGATGGAACGTTTACAATTCTGCTAGAATCAATATTTGATTTCACGCTCTAGTGCCAGTAACTGAAATATAATGTGGCTAAAGAGTACCCCAAAAGCATGAGCAATCAGACTAAAGCCAACGCAATTGGTGCAACTTCAGCTATTTTGTTTATTACGGCCTACGGAGAGAAAGAATGACGAAACACATCAGTAGCATTCCCAATGAAATTAAAAATCATTCAAAAGAGACAAACTATTTCTGAAGTTTCTTTTCTAGTACGCTCCTTCCTGCCTGTCACGGACTATTAAGACCATACTTATTTTAACATGGGCAAATCTCAGAATTCATAATTCCTCTTTCCGCTTCGCCGATTCAAAGGTCATTTAATTGCAACTATTTTATCAAGTGACTTTTATTTCATTAAAATCTGACTGACAGACTTTTTCACGTAAGCGATTGTGACTGTTAGTATCAGGTAGGTGAGAGGTGTCGACAGAATGTCAGTAACATCTCACACTTAATTTCTGTCCTAACGAAATCAGTTTGGCTAGAAAGGTATGCCTTTTGCAGCTCCTAGAGTCCGCATCATTATTTAGATTAATAGTTCACATAGTTTATCCAACGCCACTTGCAAAAATGAGTAGAGCTCACGCCATTTAATTTCAATTTCAACTTTTGCTAGAGCCTAAAGGTCCCAGTAATCGCGTAGCCGAATGCGAAAGCAGTCTGTCAAACCGATTAAGTGAAATGATGGATCATTCTCCGTTTTCTCCTGACAGGCCGACGGAGAGCACTCCCTCCCCCTGATTGTTACCGTACATTCTGCGGCGGCTGCTGCTGTCGTTGTATACTACCTCCACCGCATCTTCGGTGCGTATGTATCTGCAGGGATACTCGACTGTTCCCTCTGAGTTTCTCCAACTTCTCTAATTCAGCGCGCAGTCCTTGCACAGTTAGCGCCATACGTACTTGTTCTGCTGCGGTTGGCCGATTCAAGTGAGACTGATAGTCACAATGTAAATCCTACAAAGCCTTTGCAGGCACTGTGTGAGTCAGTCCATGCCATCAGAAGGGGACACTGTGGGCAAAGCAATAGGGTTGATGGAAAGAAATACCATGCTTACGAGTTCCGAATGATATTTTAGTCAAATATGTTCTGCATCTGTACGTAGCCCATGTGGCGGCCGAGTATGCGGGTACAATATCGACAGTAAAGGCGGCAGTGACAGATGTTTTCCGGGTCTTATGAGAATGCTTTTGCAGTCCTATTGTTGCTAACCCCCCGGTCTCCGAAGGGGGGTATAAGCGATTACAATGAGCAATCACAGAGCGAACCAGTTAGCATTATGCCTGCACTTCCAGCGCTTTTTTACCTGTGTCCTTAGAATTTCCCACCAAAAACTGCAGGTATGAATGTGTGCGACAAATCCAAAGCAGGTTTTAACATGATTTACCCTATAGGACAGGTGGAAAGAGTTTCTTAGGTAATTATGGCATGTGGGCATGTGAATGGTAGGTGGAACGCATTAATACGGAAATGTACTCAAGGGGACCAAATTGGGCCTTCAACGTAGTTTGACACCAGGATTGAGGTTTAACGTTAGCATTGTTGTTGCATAATGCTTCAGTCTTATACATTTCACACTTTTTCTTGGTCCGCCCTATAATCAGTTGGCTTCATCTATTGCCGCACCTATTTTCGCGAGTTTTCTCTGTGTATGTCTGTCACATGCAAGCGTTTCTCCTGTATTGCAGATGATTTTCGTGTTCCCTAGTGAGTTCTGCGGGGTATCTGTGTATTACTACTTTTGTTCAACTTGTCTGCGAAGCGCTGTTGCAGCATCCGCGTACACAATGCACAATAGAGGAACTTCATCAAATTGGAGTCTAGGCCAGTAGAGTAATATGCTTAATATGACAGCCGATCGCAGAACCTGAGTTTTTGAAATTCGTTCCTTTCGTTTGCCGCTATTAGTCGAAAACGACTTAGGTGGAGCTGCTTTTTGTTTCTCGTTTGGCCTCCAACTGTAGCCAGTCAGTTCTGGAAACTTTCAATTTTATTTGGACGAGGGGTACATGACAACTTAAAACTGAATATTATAATCTGCCAGAGGATTTGCCGACTCGAGAGACCCGACCAAAAAACTATAAGTCTAATTTATTGTCCTGGGCGATTTGTTCTCGGGCAAGAAATTCGTTCTACTCCTGTGAGTTCGTTACCACTGTCAGTTAGGATACATTCATTTTGTACAGCAGTTGGCATGGTTGCTGCCTGTTGAAAATTTTCAGCATTTCCATTTTATTTCTGAAGTTAAAAAGCAGGCAACGAAAAGGTCTAGATCTCGATGGTTATCAGCGTCAGTGGGGTAGTGCAGTTCACACTGGTCGAAGAAGGGGAGATGGAGCATAGTCATCTTAGGAGTTTTAGGACGGCCTTACCAGTAAACAGTTTCTGTTGTTTAAATAACTGATATCTATATCCGGAGGATTGCTCGGTGTATAGATCTGAGGGAAGTTGGGGCACTAGCTCTGCCTCACCCTTGCTGTTACTCCGAAAGCTTCTGATTTTGGTCCCTATACCTTGGTGTGATCCATAATATTAGTATTATTGATGATATAGAGCATCCAGATGTATGAATTGATTCTTCCAAATACAAGCGAACATGCGAGTCCCGTATCTGCAACTTCTTCCTGCTTATGTCTCTGATGATGAATCCGCGACAAATCTCGAAACTTCAAGCGAATAAAAGTGTTGTCCCAGTGATCGAGTCGTCTTCTTCTGAATTGTTTTTAGAATACACTTCTTTTCATGCTGCCAAAGCTATTGGTGAGATTCGTGAAGATGATGTTGAGGTCGATCACTGTTTTATATAATTTTCTTGCAGGTGCCGGTCTGCTAAAATCATGACGGTGTTCCCACTTTTCATGCAGAAACCAAAATTTGCTCTAGGCAAGAAGGTCTTGCTCTTGTATTAGCTTTGTCGATTATACAAACCCAACCAAGCATTTTGTTAGCAGTACCAGAAAGGGACATCCCAAAGTGATCGTATGGGGATTTGTTGGCTTCCTCTGCGTTCGTACAAGGGAATAACATTAAAGTCAATTGGAACTTATCCTCGATGTGGTATCCTCTGAAAATTGGGGGTCAACTTTTCAATAAACTTAGAATTATCGTTCTGGTGGGACTGAGTCGGCAGGAGTCGATACTTAACATAGTTTATTGATACTTCAGTTGCAGCTTTCACAGGGATAATTGCTTGTTCATACTTGACGGTACGACTTTCGCGAGCGACGACGTCCACAATGAGCACCCCGGAGTGACTGCAGTACCGGTTCCATGCGCGTGGCTTGTTTTATAGCGATGTGGACTTTCGAGGTATCTATTACACTCTCTGCCCCCTCATTCATTTGTCTCCGATCGCAAGGAAATATTGAAAGGACCGCAGGTGGGCGCGGGCGCAGTGGCTGACAACTCACCACGTTCGATCTGCGCGTGCCACATGCAGACTGGTGCTCGCTGAATATGCTAGGTGTTCAAGAGGGCAGCCTGATCTTACATGCGTGTGAGTACACTGAAAGCCATAGTAGGATGGAACCAATAATTCAGATTGTCAGATCTTTGGTTAGTCATATTACAAACTTACACCCAATACTAGCCACGAAAACTGAGTTAACAAACCAGTTATCAATCGTTCAGGCCACGACTTTTAACGCGCCGTGATAAATTCAAGCATGCCAGATTGATTATAATGAGGAAAATGAAGTGAATTTCTCAGTTTTGACCTCACTCTCTCTTCCCTCCGTCATATACTGGTCTACCGTCTGAGCTTGCCAGCCAGCTGATGGTGAAATTTGGCAAAGTAGCTGACAGAGGCAGACAACCAGTCTATGCAAGCTACACACGGCCTGGTCACAAACAATGGTCCCGCGTTGCGCCAACCGCATGTTCCTCACGCACGTGAGATATGCATGCACTAATATTTGCCCAGTCACACATATGATATTACGAGGGTTGGTGTGTGGTGATGTGCAGGTAGGGCAAGATGCCCTGATGGGGATTCAAACTGTTGCGTTTCACAGCAACTTTTTTATGCAGGAGCATATTGCCGAAATGCCCGTGTGATAAATGAATTTAATTGGCCAATGAAGCAGCCTAGGAGGTTACGACGGCTGTAGATTGCGGCTCCTAGCACAGGTTTCCCTGTTTCAGTGAGATAAATTCGCAAGTGACCGACCAAGCTGACTCGAGATGTAAAAATATGATTGTAGTTATGACAGGCTGGGATTGCACTGATGAAGGAGGCGATGGTGGCGGCTGGCAGACCGTCGGGAATGCTGTCGATGATGATGATGATGATGAGGGCGATGGTGGTGATTATAGTTGCCGTGGGGATTTAGATTGGGGTGATGGTAGAGGTGTTGCTGTTGTTGTTGTTGTTGGAGGAGGAGGAGGAGGTTTCTGAGAGCGGCGAAGGAGTTGCCGCGTTGACTGTGCGATAGGTCTGAAGATATCCGATGAGAACGACACATGCCCATAATGGCCATTGACAGAGTGCACACGATGGAATAGGTAGCGCACTTGAAACTTGTAAACCGCCCTATCTGCTGTAGCAACAGCTGTCCGGTTGACTTTAAAAATGCCTAATCTAGCTTCCAGTTTGTTTTACCGTGCCTGCCGATCCTGAGTGAGGCATCTCAGGTCTCTGGGTTGATTTTTAACGAGAATGAACGATCGATACGGCTATCCTATACCAAGAACAAGTCAAAGTAAACCCATCGAGATAGTCACACTATAACGAAGTCAGCTGCCTACTCCGACCAGAGTAGAACACAAGCAGTGGAAAAAATATCAGTTATTGATACCGTAACCCTCACCAGTGGAAGTTTTCACGCAAGAGTTCATACAAAAGCTCAAAAATGGAGATAAATGCAAGTTCAAGAAATATGTTCCAAAATAGAATAAGCACACAAAGTTGTGTATAAATAAAATTATGGCAAAGGGCCATCAAAAATTTGTAAGTTCTTGAGGGCAGTCTTCAGAATGATTTTGTAGCGTCATGTTCCCCATGTCTGTGGTTGCCCATCGCGACGTCCCCATAGAATAGGCGTTCGGACGAGCGCTCGTCGTGCATCCTAACAACTTGTCTGCTCCATTGTAGCTTCGAGACGTCAGTGTCGGAGATCTTGTCTCTCCACCTCATAATTGGTATTATCTGGAGGCAGCTGAGATGGAAGATGTCGAACATATTCTTTTGGTTTGTACAGAATGCCTAAATCTCTGACTCATATAATTAATTTTTTCAGGACAACAGCCTAGAACATCTCAAGTTTTGTGTTGAAGTGCAACCAAGGGCAATTCCAAGAATGCCAATGAAAGAATGCCTTTGAGATTGCCTATTGTCCGTGACGCGGGCCATCGTCTCGCGGTGAGGGTGTCTTGCCATTTGAGTGAATCGCTGAGAACATCCGATTTTCGAGCTGATGTTCCAAAGACTATCAGTATTGATGTTGTAACTTACCATACTAACAGCCTAGGTACTAGCTAGAAGGCGCAGACACGTGTTTCGCCGGTATTCTACCCCTGCTTGACACAGCTGCGAGGGGTCCGACTCATCAGTGGGTCCCCCAGCCTTCCCCTCTGCTTTCTGGTTAATGTACTGGCTTTGAAAGTTCAGATTTTTTATTTCCTGAGAAATGAATTTCTGTTCGCGGTATACATCAGTATATTTAATGTCTTTAGGTATAGACCGAAATTGTAGGTGTATATTTAGGTTGACACCCGTCAATCACTGCAAAATATGCACTTGCTGCCAACGGAGAGAGTATAGTAGTATATATTGATGTTGTAACTTACCATACTAACAGCCTAGATAGTAGTTAAAAGGCCCAGACAATTTCGGTCTATGCCTATAGACCTTAAATATACTGCTGTATACCGCGAACAGAAATTAATTTCTCAGGAAATTAAAAAGCTGAAATATCGCTATAAAGTGTATCAAAAGTCTCTGTCAGGTCGGCGAATATAGTTCAGAAGTTAGTTCTCATTTCTTGGAACTTTTACTGCAGGTAGCGGGCCGTGGGGACTATGTCAGGACTCGACGGTGATTTCCGAATACACAATCCTTTTCCGAAAGAAGTCTCGGTAAGATACGGAACTATAAATTCCCGTAATACAGGTGGCCTTGCATAAAATTCCAGAAACATTAAGGTTAGGATTATGGTGGCTCTAAGTTGATTTGGAATTAATGATAATGTTCGAATCTGGGTAAGATTGTGTTAAGGGTTAAAGTGAGAACACGCCAAAAGGTGAATTTTATGAATTTAGTTTTAGGCCATCCGTAGTACTCGGCAGGATTACTATCCCCGTGTCCCAATGGCGTTGCTAGGTCGGATGTGTGCCTGAACGATTGAATAAAACACGGTCTAATATTCTGCCTGATACGTTGAGAAGGGAGAGCCCTTGGTGGTTATCATACAGTTCCCAGTTTCCCTTGTGTTTCAAGATGTGAACAATGGCGGCGTCCTCTCAGGCTTCGGGATGTGTGCTTGTTATCCTATCTACTGCAATAGCAAAGTAAGCTTTTTTAGGAAATTGGACTTCGGCCGGAATCGCATATGCTGCCGGTGCTTTCCACTGGACAGCTTTGCACTGCTCTGGGTTGGGGAGGGGGAGGAAGAAGGGACAGAAAATCGTTTGTATCTAATTTAAGCATTCGGTTAATAGCTTCTTCGCTGATGGTCGATAGGTGATAGAGCACGTTCTGGAAGAACACAACCTAACTCTCTAGGATCTGTGACGCCTCCATTAGGTGATTTTGCTACTCTGGTTCAACCGTGGTTTAGTACACTTGTTAGTAGACCATAGAATGTCACTCTGACCGTAGACATATCCGTGGACTTCAGTCAGAGGCGCTGAATCTCTCTCAGTCTCTGTTTTATTAAAAGGTGGCGCCAGAAGTATGCAGTTTTACTGGCGTTATTGCTACTGACGTTGCGGATCGTGTGTCAAATGTGGCTCCTGGAGAGCAGATTGCGGATTTCGTTGTCAGTCCTATAGCGATTGGGCGCTCTCTCCCAGACAGCATCGCCTGTGGCCACTCGAGTACTGAGGACACCCAAGACACTCGATTTGCTAGGAGGACTTGCAGGTCTTTGTAGAGCTTGTTTTTCACGTCATCTAAGTTGATGATTGGGATAGGGGCGTCGGCGATAACGCTGCTGGCGAATGTGTTCCCTAACAGTGGCAGCTTCATGGTTGAGAGATGGTCATTGAGTTTTTGTGGCAGACAAGACAGACGACTCATGACATTGTTCCTGATGGTGGAGGTGACTCCAGTTTCTCGCCATGCGACTCTTGGACGCCCGTTCCAGAATAAAGCGCATCCGACACCCACTTTCTTCCTTTGTGGGGGCTCACTGAGAGCAAAAATGTCCACTTTGTAGTGGGTAAGCTCCCTAACGACCCGTGCTGTCATCCCTTACGTTACGTCTACAACTGGGTATTAAAAGGTAAACAAATTGCCAATACAAGCAAACATGTAGACGAATATTCTAGGTTGCTTCTGACTATGACAGCCGGTGGGGAGGCATAAGTATGGACGTAAACTGTAGTTTAACGTATCTTTTCGAGCACATTTGTCACATTGACGAGCCATTGCCAACTTTTTTACTGCGTGAGTTACCACTCGTTGTTTAGGACACCTTTTATAAGGCACT